GGGAGAAGGGGGGAAGGGAGGGAGTGGGGAGAGAGAGAGAGAGAGAGAGAGAGAGAGAGAGAGAGAGAGAGAGAAACTGACCAAACAGACCGAAAGCCCCCAAATATGAGGAAGAAAATGGACATCCATAAGTGTGATGCCCAAAAAACCCCAAATAATTTGGACAACAGAGGTCCAGTTAAGACATACAAATTATCAAAAGACAATAAAGATGAGAGAATTTTGAAAATAGCAAGAGAAAAACAATTTGCCATACAGAAGACAACCTCCATAAGATAATCAACAAATTTCGCAGCAGAAACCTCAGAGGCCAGCAAAGAGTGGGATAATATATTTAAAGTGTTGAAAAATAAACCTCTGCCAGTCCAGAAAACTATACAGCTTTTGCAAATGGGAAGGGGATCAAGAAAGGGAAGGAATGGGAAGGGATGGGCAGAGAGGGGAATAAAAAAAAATTAACATGTGCTATGTCACACGTACAAACTCCCCATGATGAATGTACTCAATATGTACTATATTAATGTACTAAGAGAAAAGCTTTAAAACTAAAATGAAGGAGAGATACAGCTTCTCAGACAAAAACTCAGGAAGATCATCACTAAACATGCTTTACAAGAAATACTAAAGGGAGTTCCTAAAGTTGAGAAGAATATATGCTAAACAGCAACATAAAAGCATATGAAAGTGTGTCTCACTGATAAGGTAGATGTATAGTTACATGCAGAATAATATAATTCTGTAATGATAAATGAATCACCTTTAATTATAATACAAAAGTTAAAAGACAAACTACTAAGAATATATATAACTAGAATAATTTGGTAATGAATACACAAAATAAGAAATTATATTCTGATATAAGTAACAAGTGGATATATGTGTATGTGTAATAAAAGTATAGTTTTTTATGTGGTGGAAGTTGTCATTAACTTAAAATAGCTTGCTATAAGAAGTTTTAGATGAGTTGTGGTAAACAAGAGGAAAACTTGTTGGATTAAAAAACAGCAGAAAAAATAATCAAATATTGTTACGGCTTGTGTTTAGATGTCCCCCCAAATCCTCATGCTTCTTCAGCGGTGGCTGAGCCTAGAGTGTGTGATTGATTCATGGTGGAGCTAGACCAGAGGGCACTAGGATTAAGGGTATGAGTGCTACCTGCCTCAAGTAGTTCGAATAAGATAAAAGGGTTAGAAAGACACTGTTAAGGCCTCTTCGTTGCTTTTGCTACTGTATGGGCACCATGAACTGTTTCTCCTTTGCCATGTGCTATTCTGCTGGAGCCCCTTTAACTTTGGGTGTTAGGTATTTTGTCTCAGCAATGAGGGAAAAGTTACTAAGACAAATATATCACCACAATAAATCATTAAATCACAAGGTAGACAGAGAAGAAGAGAAGAACAAACAGAACTAAAACCAGACTGAAAATAATGAACAAAGTGGCAATGTTAAAGTATTAGAATATATAAAGGAAGTTTTACTTATCAAGAATTACATTAAAGCAAATGAATTAAATTTATCAATCACAATAAAGAGAATGGCAGAATGGATAAAAAATGAAATGTAGAGCCTGGGGATTTAGCTCAATTTACAGAATATGCTTAGCATGCACAAGGACCTGGGTTTGGTTTGTAGTTAAACAACATAAAACATAAACAAAAAAAAAAAACACATGAAAAGAAGAGTGTTGGTGAGGATGTAGAGAAAGAGAATATTTGTACATCTTTGATGGGAATATAAATGGTGTAGCTACTATGAAAAATGATGTGGAACAATTGCAAAATATTAACAACAGACATGATCTAGCAATCTAACTATTCAATATATATTCTTATTCTTTTTTTTTTTTTTTTTTTTTTTTTTTTTTTTTTTTTTTTTTGGTACCAGGGATCAAACTTGGGTCCTTGTTCTTGTGTGACAGGTGGAGGAACCACTGAGCTAAATCCCCAGCCCTCAATATACATTCAAAGAAACTGAAATCAGAAACTCATAGAGATAGCTATATTCCTATGTTCAATGAAACATCTTCATTTGCAGGACTGGGAAGGAACTTAAATGGATAATGAAAAGATGTACATATCATATGGATCATTATTCAACCTGAATAAGAAGGAAATCTTTTTATTTGGGTCAACGCAAATGAAACTGGAGCATATTGTATTCAGTGAAATTAAGTCGGACACAGGAAGAGCATTACAAATACCAACTCCATGAGGCATTTAAAAAAGCGAAACTAATAGAAGCAGAGCATAGAAGAGAAGAGTAGTTGCCAGGATCTACGGCAGCGAGGGCGAATCTCTTAGAGCTTTCAGTGATATAACCAGCTTGTTGTGGCACGTGTGCCACAGGTTTGGTACCACTGGTCTATGGGGATGAGAAATCGGAGTGGTGTTTGTTAAAGTGTGGTGTTTCAGTTAGTCCTAGAGATCTTCTGTACAGCATAGTGCCTACAGTCAACAATACTATTTGCTAAGAAGGCAAAGCTTAGGTTTTGCAATCCTCTTCTCACCAATAGTAAATTAAGTGGGCTAGAACTTTTGGAAATGATACATAATTTTGTAGCACTAAATGCACTGATGCTTTCATTGAGTATATACTTATTTCCAAGGCCCTTATCAAGTTGTATATATTAAAATATGCACACATTTTCGTCAATCATATCTCAGTGAAGTGGCTTAAAATTTAATAGAGATTCACTCTGAACCAATTAGAAAACACCATTCATTTTTATCCCTTATGAATACTTGTTTGGTTCAACTTATCAAATTAACTTACGCTTTTCAACCAAAGATTAAAGATAATTAATAAGCACTATTTGACATCAGGAAAAATAATCAATAAATAAAGCTATGCGTTAGGCTGATTTCCAAAATTAACCAATAACTACACAAGGCTACTTTAATTAAAGTTAAATGAGAATTCAGTTTCCCAGTCACACTAGTCACATTTCATGTGCTTCATAAACACATAAGCTAGTAGCTACTCTGAACTGTGCAGAACAAATATTTTTGTCACAGAAATTACTGTGGGATAGTCCTGATCTTTTGAATGGCTTTTCCTCACAACTCAAATATACTATATTTTTCTATTAAGAAGATGAATTCGATATGGGAAATTTAAAATTTATTAATTTGCCAGAACTGAATGTAGAGAAGATGTGTGGACTGACCCACCTCCTCTGCAGCTCTCGTCACCCCAGACTGGTTGGACTTTTTCTTAGGTGCCTCATTAACCCCACATCCTCTATCTACATGTGAGCATGCAATGGATGACGGCTGTTGTAAGTGTAAACCTCTCCAGAATGGCAGTTCCTTGGATGCTGCGCTGATGGAGAGGTTAAACCTGAATAAAGCTTTCCTGGATGTTTCAGGGGCAACGAAAGGGCAGTGTTAACTTTCATTCTAGTGCGCTGACAGCAGTGCTGCAAGCCTCTGTGTCAGAATCACTGCAGGGAGAATCTCACTATCCTTTGAAGAGCTTGATTCCTCAGTGGTTCACCTTTCTTTTCCCTGCTGGTCAGTTTTCCCGGTCTTCTTTTCCTTTTTGACTTGGTGGCGAATGTGTGATGTGCATATGTAGTTATGTACTTGTTGATGTATTTAATAAGGTGGGAGAAGTCAGGCAAACAAGAAGAAGGTGGTGAGGTGGAATTCTAAAATTCTCCTTCCTTTTTGTCTTCTACCTCAAGGCCTGCTATGGCAAGCATGCATATATGTTCAAGAAAAAAAAATCTAAAACTGACTGTCACTCTACTACTTAGTGAAAAGCTTATGTAATAGTATTTTTGTATGTGATCAAAATTTGGATCATACTTTACACTAGTAAGTATTCAACTTTTTTCTATTTAACACCATATTATGAAATCTTTCCTTCATCAAAAGTCTTTGAAAGCATAGTTTAATATACAGTCCCACAATTTACTTTATCATTTCCTGCATGCTAGAGATTAAAGCTGCTTTCAAGTTTTAATTAGATATGATGGGATAAACGTCAATATATATATTTTATGCATCTCTCAGAGTAATATGAAAATAAGGCAAAAAAGTAAAAGTGCATTTATATATATGATATTTCTAGCTATCTCCAGGAAGGTTTTATCAAGACTTCCATACATAAGGAATGTAAATATTTCACCTCACCTTTTAAAAATAAGATGTTAGCTTAGAAATACTTATGCTAAGTTACTAGAAAAAACAGCATATTATTGTAGTTTTACATCTCAAATTATTAATGAGGGGTAACATTTTCCAAGATTGTAGGGCATCTCTACTTTTTGTTTTCTCAATAGCATGTCCTCTGTGTGTTATATATTAAATTGGGTTGATTTTTCCCTTGCTTTTTGCACACTCTTCCAGTTGTTTTATTAAGGCTGACTTGGTGTTCTTTGAGCACTGGAAGAGAAGAGATATATCTGCTCATACGTATCTCTTGGAGTATACATATTTTCTTCCCTCATCATTTCTTTTTTAAAAGGTAGATAATAATTATACATGTTTATGGGGTACAGTGTAATCAATGTTTTGGTACATTTATACATTGTGTATTGATCAATTTAGAATGCCTAAATTATATATAATCTCAGACATTTCTATTTCTTTGTGATGAGGACATTCATAGAACTCATTCCTCATATCTAGCTGTGACTTTGTTCCCATTAACCAGTAACTCCTCCTCCCCTTTAAGTTCTGATGATCTCCCGTTCTCCCTTACCTATCAGCCCTTGATATCAAATGGCACCTATGACAGTCTGGTGTCACTTAGTGGGATTCTATGGCATCTAACTGCCAAATAGCACATCCATTTATACTTCATCTCTACTTATATAATTAAAGCCCACAGCTTCCATCAAAGATATTTCAAGCATCAAAGAGGATATCCTTGGAGCGAAGAAGCCCAGATACCGTCCTGCCAGCTCTGTCTCTGACACTGTATCTAGAGTCCTAGGATCGTTACCACAACAAATAAGCAAAGTCAAGGCAGAGGAATACTAGTATCAGCTCCAGAATTAAAACCAGTAGTGAGAGGGCAAGAATGCAATAAATATAGGAACATATTACTGGAAGAATTAATTTTGAAAGAACAATGCTAGCAAGAAAAGCCCAAATTCATTATCAACAAAAATGTCAAAAGTTATCTATAGAATGCCGGGGATTTGGCTCAGTAGTTCTGGCCCCGCTTTGCAAGCTCCAGGTCCTAAATTTGATCCCCAGTAACAAAAATAAATAAATAAAGTTATCCATAGAATGTTGTCATTTTTTTTGCTTACAGCTTTTCAAAAAATTAGAACTTCTTTTGCACTTGTTTTTAAATGACAATCTCTCAGAAATCAAGGAACATAAGTGATATTTCTAAAAATTCTCTGTTGAAAATTATTTTTAAATTTGATTTAAAAGGTTAATAAATAATACATTACCTTTGAAACTAGCAGCGAAATGATTTCTTTTACAGTGTTGTCAATCAAATCGTCTATTTTTGAGTGGTACTGTTGCTAGATATTAAAGGACAAAAATGAATTAGTGGATACAGACACCAAGCTTTTGTCATAGGTCATAAATGCTCTAAAGCTACTAGTTATGACATATCATATTTACTTAAAATGATCATTTCGAACATTAAAAGAACAAAACCTTGAAAATGATCTACCCAATCAACACTTTTTACACTGTGGTTGAAAATTTTCCCATGTGCACTGTTGAGTTAAGCAGCTAATGGGGTTATTATTTAGATGAATTGAGTTCTTATTCTTATTCAGGCTCAGGAATGTGAAGGATACTTTTTGTCTTCTCCTCTGTAATTAAGGTGGCCATGTATTTTTGTAAAGGGTTGGTTTAGCTGGAGAAGCAAAAAGGGTCGAAAAAGATTTAATTAATACAGCATTTCATGTCTGACAACTCTCATTCATAAGTTATTTTAAATGTGCTTTAGAAATAAAATGAGCTCCCAATTGTTCTCTCTAAAAGGATCTTTTTGTTAGCCTATGGAGCAGCAGTTTATACAATTCTTACAATATGCTCAAGCAAGGGCAAAATTAAAATTTCATCAACAAAGGTGAATAGATGGTAACAAATTAATAGGCCAAAAAAGGTAAAATAAAACGGCACTCACTCCCCATAGTTTTATTACAGCAGCCTCATGAAAAAGACGCTTTTAAATAAATACAAAAAAGATGTATTTAAAGTAAAGCTGAAAGACTTTTTTTTTCACTTTCCTTAGAGAATACTAGAGGGGGTTCCATTCTTAAATTAACAGGAGTTGGGCTTCCACGGCATGCGAAGGCACATCCATTTAAACAGTAATTCTTCTTTAGAAGCATTTATCTGACAGCAGATTGTCCCCAATAGCCACTTCACAGAAAATGTGACTTGTAAAGACTAACCCTATATTGATGGTTCAAGGCTTCTTGGAACAGCTAACATAATGCATAGAGTAAAAGTACTCAGGTCAGTATAAACATTAGACCAACTTAACAGCTGCTGGTTGAATGGTTTCCTAAGATGTAAGTTTTTGAAAGCTATTTTTTTTTTCTTCTGAAAACATGTCTCAAAGTTTCCACACAGAACAAAACATCAACTCAGGCCCCCTTTGGAATACTCAGGAATGATCCCCGCCCCCTCAAGGGCTCTGACAGTTTAAAGTGGCCATCATCCACCTGCATAAATAATAAAGGAAGGAAGCATAATTCTGAAACCTTTGAATCATTTTCTTTTCCTGAAGGTGAGTGTGTATGTGCCTTGATGGTGGTCTGAAATGAAACCCTCAGAACTTTCCAGGCACATCCAGTGAAGCTTGTGATACCCAAATTTGTGGCTCCCCAGAGGACAAACAAACAGAAACTTGGGGTAAATGTCTTATGGTAGTACTGATACTTTTGTTTTTGGAATAGCTCAAAAGCAAGGAAAAGGGGAGTGCAATGAAAACCAAGGTGGAAGCAAAAGACTTGACTGAACAAGCCAGCTGGTGATTAAGGTTCTGATCCATTCTGTGTCCATCACTTTCTGAGTCAGGCACACACCATCACATACATGGGCACATTTTAGACCAACTGAACAATTCCAGTGCCTAGACCGAGAGTCAGGGTAAGCCCCTCACTTGCAAAAGCCCCCCCCCAGTTTCCCCGGAAAGCAGCACAGCTGACTGGATAGCTGTGGGCTTATGTAAATTAGAAATTCTCCTCAGCTCCCAATCTAGGTCTGTGTAGCAAGAGGAAATGAAATACCAGCCCCGTCTCCTCAGTGGGGTAGAAGAGAAAAGGGATACAGGAGATTCAAGCTCCCCATTTTCATCTAAAATGAAAAGTGCTGAGAAATCTATCAGATATAATAATAGAGCTTCTACATGTTAAATTTTTAGGTTATATTAGTTCTAGCAATTCTTAAAAGAATCAAGTGATAAGGTGCTAAAGAGGTCATTTAAATTCATCTTATTAAAAAAAAGGGAAAAATCAATGAACCTTAGCAGCCAAGAAATCCACTTGTAAGACATAACTTTTGATTGCTATTTTCTTTAACATGTCATCTAGTCATAATCTGAGAGGAAGGAGAGGAAGAAATGGAAAGAGGAGAGAAAAACAAATGAACCAAAACAAATTCAAAGTTAAAAAGGGAAGAACAGAGAAATATATATGGTGAACGTATAAGCCGAAGAGTAAACCCAAATAGTATAAAGTTTGTTAGGTTTTTATAATCTGAGGACAACTATTGCAAATTTATTTGATGAGATCTGACCTCATCAGATCTGTTAGAGGTGGTCTAACAGCAAGGGTCTGGAGATGGCCTGAGAATACCTATTTATGTATATTTACCTATATATATATATATATATATATATAT